CAGTAGACTTCAGAAAGAGCAGAGCGGGAAGAAACCTGAAAAAATTTGCAAGACAAATAGGAGTAGATCCACATCAAGCTGGGAAGAGAAAAACCCATGCTGGCCAGTTTTCTCAGTATAACCTAATACAGAATAGTATCGAAGGCCTTACTAACATCCGTAAAAATAACATCGACCTGATCACCCTCCTCCATAAGATTAAAATTATCTGAGACAAACCCAACCAAATTGGTAACAACAGACCTGCCCCCTGAAAACCATGCTGGCCAGGGCGAATATGGTAGACATATGGTAGCCCAGTTAAATGCTTCCTTTTTGCTATTTCGTACAGGTAGCTTTTAATTTGAATCAACTAGTCCAATCTTTCAATTTTTTTATTTGGGTAGATTTTTAATTTGGTCACTTTTGTTTGTATTGCATTTATATTAGTGAATCGGTCAATTTTATTTATATTTGATCAGTTCTCGTTCGTTTTTATTTGTATTGGATCTAGTATATCTTTCAATTTTACTTGTATTTTACTTATATTGGCAACTGATTCGGTCACTTGTGTGTAAAGAATTTCATTTATTTTACTTCTCATTTGCTTTTATCAATATTTCATATAGGAGTATATCGTTCGTTTTTATTTGCATTGGATTTATTATATCGTTCAATTTTACTTATATTGTATTTATGTTGGCAACTGATTCGGTCACTTTTATGTGTATAGCCTTTTATTTATTTCACTTCTCATTTGCTTTTATCAATTTTCCATATAGGAGTATATCGTTCGTTTTTATTTGTATTTGATTTAGTATATCGTTCAATTTTACTGGTATTGTATTTATATTGGCAACTGTTTGGATCACTTTTGTGTTTATAGTATTTCATTTATTTTACTTTTTATTTGCTTTTATCAATATTGCATTATAGGAGTATATCGTTCGGTTTGATGAGTATTGGATTTAGTATATCGTTCAATTTTACTTGTATATGTTTTATATTGACAACTGATTCGGTCACTTTTGTGTTTATGGAATTTCACTTATTTTACTTCTCATTTGTTTTTATCAATATTGCATATGGTAGGATATCGTTCGTTTTTATTTGTATTGGATTTAGTATATCGTTCAATTTTACTGGTATTGTATTTATATTAGCAACTGATTCGGTCACTTTTGTGTGTATAGAATTTCATTTATTTTACTTCTCATTTTCTTTTATCAATATCCCATATAGGAGTATATCGTTGATTTTTGTGAGTATTGGATTTAGTATATCGTTCAATTTTATTTGTATTGTGTAATATTGATACAGAAAGAAATAAGGAAAAATATAAAATGTACATCAATTACCAATGTATATGCAGTAATATTTTTTAACCAAGTATATCTATTAATAAGTACTTCGACTCTTCATTTATATCACACTAAAGCAACCACTCACCAATATTTATATTTAAAAAATTCCCTTAGCTAAAAGAGTTAAGCAGTATACCTTCTTATTTTCATTTTTATACACATAAGAATTTTTGGGTGAGGGACAGAGTACGCAATAGATGTCTACCTGTTTATAATATATTTTTAAAAGCGGGAGTTATTTATTTTTTCCTATATAAAGTGTAGGAAAAAATATTAAGAATTTTAAAAGCGGGAGTTTTATTTTTGTAACTTATTCCAGTACAAGGTGGCAAAAAAAGTGTATTCATATTATAAAAGCGAAGTGGAAAAAAGTGTTTAAAAAAATTATTATAATTTATATAATATAATTTTGAAAAATAATAAAAATAAATTTGAAAAAAGACGTATAATATTAAAAAAAATTTAAATAGTTGCGAAAAAAAATAGTTTTTTTTATAATAATGGGTAAACATCATTTGAAGTGTTTGGGGAATAATTTTGGAGTGAGGAGAAAAAGCCGACATGAAAACTTCATTTGTTGCCATAAGATGTGAATAGGTAAATATGTACTTTTGAAAATATTTTAAATTTTTAGTGTTAAGCATTTGTAATTAATAATTATTAATAAATAAAATAAATAAAGTATCTTTAAATTTTTTATTTCAATCTTAATAAATTTAAAACATCTTTTTTTCTTTATAAATTACTTTACTTCTATGTATTACATGTACATGCAAGTTCAAACTCTTTTGCTTTCATACATTTTAATTTTTTACCTTTAATAATATTTTTAATATTTTTAAAATTTTTAACTTTAATAAAATGAAAAATAAATTTTATTATTATCAAAATAAAAATAATAAAATTTTTACCTAGGTTAGGTTAGGTTGTGATGCCGTCAGATCCCCCCTCTCTCCCTCACTAGAATCTTAGCTCGAGTTCCTCAGAAACCGGCCAAGGTTGCTAGATCCGTGGGTTGCTCACAAAAGTGGGACCCCAGAAATCTCTGCCTGGAGTTCGTCAACGCCGGGCACGAGCATAGCAGGTGGGTCACCGTTTCTCCTTCCTCCTCGTCATAGCAGCTCCTAAAGAGATCATTTGCGGGGCGGCCCATCCTCCTGGCATGATCGCCAATCAGACAGTGTCCAGTTAAAACACCTATCATCGCGCCAATATCCTCCCGTCGGAGAGATATTAGATCGCTAGTGCGACGCGCGACGCAAGTCTAGCTTTGGCCACAACTTCCTTACCGCGTTACACATAGTTCCATTCGCCCATCTGAGATTGGTACGTACCATCGCCGCACTGCGTAGCAGCAGCTTGTGAGTGCTTAGAGGCATGCCAACGTTCTTCTTTTCAGGTAGAATTCCGAGGGTCGTTCCATGTCTCGCAAGCTCATCCACCTTGTAATTCCCTGAGATCACACTGTGTCCGGGAACCCAAGAAGAGGTCAACCAAGAAGAGATCTCCTTTTGCGGCTTGGCTCTCCGTGAAGATGCTAGCACTGCCCACGAACACTACATGCTCACCAAGCCGGTGCAGAGCTTCCGCAATTGCGACCACCTCTGCTTGAAAGACACTGCAGTGGTCCGGCAGGCGGAAGGAACCCACCTTTCCATCAAGTTTGGATCCATCCGTGTAGCAATGGACGGAGCCATCCTTGACCGCGTCCCGCCAGCTTTGCCTCGGCAGGACTGATGCCTCGAAATTCCTCACGAATGAGAGCACGGGAGAAACCAAATCAATTGACCCCACCCAGTGCCGCCAGTCCGCAAGAATCGAAGTGTGGTCCGTGGGGCAACACGACCACTGTGGTGCGGCCCCAAGACGCACCTCAGACTCCCCAGCCATCTGGCTCCCAGTTTATCTAACAGCAGCAGATGCAAGAGAATCTCAAGAGCCTGTGTAGGGGTGGAGCGCATAGCTCCACCAACACACAACATTGCCATCCTCTGAGCCCTGATGATTAACTTCAGGTTTAAGGAAGTACGGAGCGCCGGCCCCCACACCAAAACTCCGTACATCAGAACCGGTCTCACCACCGTGGTGTACAACCAATAAACCATGTTTGGTTTCAGGCCCCACCTCTTCCCGATGGCCGAGCAAAGCGCAATAGTTGCTTTCGTTACTCTCTCCATGATGTTAAGTCTCCAGTTCAGGTTTGAATCCAGAAAAAGCTCCAGCAATCTAGCCTCCCTGCTGAAGGATAGGCCGATTCCGCCAAGTTTCGGAGGAGCCACGCTCGGGATCTTACATCTCCTACTGAAAATGACTAGCTCCGTCTTTTGAGGGTTAAAAGATAGCTTAGTGCATGGAGGTGGTTCCCAGGCACGGCCACTGCCACGTCATCTGCGTAGGCGACCACCTTGTACCCCTTCCCCTCCAGGAGTACTAGTAACCGATTGATTACCAGGTTCCAGAGAAGAGGATAAAGCACACCCCTTTGCGTCCGCCCCTTGGTTCCGATCGACAGCATATTCCCTTCAATGTAGTATATCAAGGAGTGTGGGGCCGCTTTCGCTGACCTACCCTTCCGATACGCATGTTGTGCCGCACCCACCACCTACCTCGGGTTAAGGTTGCTCCCTATGTATGCGTCTATCAATTTTTCTAATATTTTTAGTAGAAACCATGTTAGACTAATTGGTCTAAAATTCTTTGGGCAGCTGTGAGAGCTCCTCCCAGTTTTAGGAATGAAGACGACCCTGGAAACATTCCACGATTTTGGAATGTGAGCTGGGTCTATACAGCATTCGTAGATAATTTTCAGCCAGGGCAGGATGACTTCTGCCGCATTTTCTATATTGTTCCGGCCCGCCGACTTCAAAGGCTGAAAGTTGCGGATAGCCCAAAGAATTCCTCTCCCGGTGACCACTTCTGAGGAACAAGATTCGCTGTCGCAGACATTTAAAGCAGACTCCCCCAAGGATTCTGGGAAGTGTGCATCCAGCAGCAGCTCCAAGGACTCCGAAGCGGAGCTGGTCCAGGAGCCGTCAGCTGGCAGCATATAACTCGGCGCGACTGGGTCACCTGCCAGGACCCCCCTTAGCCTAGATGCCTCCGCAACCCTGCCAATCCTTCCGCAAAACTCCCTCCAGGAAAATCGTTGCGCCCTCCTCAGCTGACGCTTGTATTTTCTGAGGTCATCCTTATATGCGTTCCAATCAGATGATGCCCTGCTGAACTTTGCTCTATTGAATCGAATTCTGCATTTTTCCGAAGAGCATTCAACTGTTCGGACCATCATTGCGGCTTTCTTTTGCCTCTTAACCGAGTGAGTGGACACGCCACGCTAGAGGGTGGTAGACACGCCATTTATTGCGTCGGTGAGCGTGCAGACCATACTATCATGGCCCTCACTTGTCCTAGGACGAGGTAGGACCCCACTACCAGGAGGTCGCTTAGCGAGTCTCTGAATTTTCACCAATCAGACCTTTTGCGGTTTCTGAAGATCAAGGGAGCGTTTCGGTTGGTTACCAACTTCTATATAACGGTTATATCTATAACCTGCCGATTTTTAGTAATAATCCTGCCGATTTTTAGTAATAAAAGTGGGCTCTGAGCCTCTATTACATAATGTGAGCTTCGTGCTTAAAATAAATTCTAAAAGTGACTCACCTCTCATGTTGGTGCCCGAGCTTCCCCAGATTACATGATGCGCATCCGCTTCGAAGAGATTGAGCCTTCTCCACCATGTCCTTCAAATTCTCGGGTGGCAGCTCTCCCTGGAAGTCGAAGGGCAGGTATTCTGATGCTCACCAGAAGATACTACCACCAGCTTCGAGACTGACTGCAGTCAAGTCTTCATTACTGTAAAGAGGTAGTAGAAAAGCATTTAAGTTATTTTTAATAAGTATGAATGACCTCACCTTCGAACTGCCGCGCTATAAAACAGCTTTTATCCTGGCGTCTTGAGTCCGCAGATCTTTCTCCCCGCTATCCAGGGCTCCTGGACCAGGACTATATCTTCTCCACCTATTTGTAAGCGGAGAAGAAGCGCAGCCGAAAATGCTTTAGAGTGGTGGAGGTTGATCTGAATTGCACGAAGCATTACTGCTTGCGTTAACCTCCACCAGCGTCTTATCTGCATCCTCGTCCAGATCCAAGTCCAACAAAGATCCCTCCAGATCCAGATCACGATGCATTACGTCATCGTCTGTCAGCTGCGCTTCATTCAGCATCTCTGCTTCTGATGAGAGCGGGGACTGACCAAACGATTTCTCCGGAGCCCTATTGGCGTCGGCCCAGAGCCCACTCAACTCTCGTGTCTGTTTTATCCACTTTAAGGGTTATGGAGGAGAACCCATAGTTAAGGATAAATCTCTGACTTTCCAGAGGTGCCAAAGATTCCCTATTTATTATTATGAGGGCCTGCCGATAGTCGCCCTTTCTCTCTTCCAACTTTGCCACCCGCCAGTTGGCTGTCCGTAAGTTGGGATTGCCTAATCTGATCATCTCTAGGATGGTATTAGTGTTCGACGGCTCAACTGGAATCCAAGCTCGAGCCCGCCGTCTTCTTGGGATTTGGTCTTTCGCAACGACCGCGAGCCTAGTCCCGGGCCAAACTCCTATCGCTTTTTTGTACAGGTCGAGAGACCTGCCATCAGCACAAGCCACAAGTTTGACAAATCCCTGGTACCAACCTTGGACTATGCACGGGGGATATAGGCCGGGATTAATCTTCATGATTTGAGGAAAGCCCGCCATTAATCGGCTTTCAACTTTCCTCCAATTCTCAGCAGAGATCCTGCCATCTTCTTGCGCCTGATCAACCATAGCGACAACAAGATGGTCCTTCAGGATTCACTCTAAGGGATGCGTTCAAGGGTTTGTTCGGTGGCCTTGGCTTTTTAGCTTCCCGAGGTGATTCCTCTGTGGAGCGCTGTTGTTTTGTTGCCACAACCCTCTCGCTTAATCGCTTGTCTACAATACTCTTGGCCCAGTTGTATGTGGGCCTTTCTTCTTCAGACCTAAAAATTTTTACCTAACTTAAATTAATTTTATTTCAGTTCAATGTTTTTGATACACTCGTTTGTTTACAATATTTTGTTTCTCTCTTGCCTACACAACTCTTATTACCATCTATTTCTAAATAAAAATGAAATATTTTATGAATTTGGAAGCAAAATGCAAACGAAAACTAACCGAATGGAGCGAGTTGAACAACATATTATAGATATACTTTGTTTTTTAATAACTGAAAAAGAATATTGGAATTCTTAGTGAACAATGAACGATTCATTTTTGAAGAAGTGAACTAATCAGTTAAGTTGAGTGAAGTGATTCGTTCTTTAAGATTAGTTCGTTCGCGAACGACACATCATGACTAGTTGACATATAACTATGTTCATTTTTCCCCTCAAAATTGCATAAGTTGTCTTTGCTTATATAAAAATTAGTTAATCCACTTCAAAAAAAATAATCTGCAATATGTAGAAGCGTATTGTATTAACTAATGAGCTAAGAATTGAGAATCCGCTAAAACTGTACTGTATGTAAATTTTTTTTTAAAATTTAACCATTACACAGTTTTTTGACAACTTCTATCGGAATATTAGGAAAACTATAGATATTAAATCCGGATAATTACTTTCAATTTGGTGGTAATTTTATCAATAAGTGCTAACTATTTTATTTTAATTTTAGAATCAGAGCAACGCTTTAGGTATACTTCACTAATCAACACTGCTAAGAACCCTATCTTTCTTTTGTGCATCTTATTTTAGACTTTCCAATCTGTATTTTCATATCTTTACAGGAGTATAAATTCCTCAGAGATCACTCTGTTTAATAGCAATATTTTCCTTTTTAGTCATTGAAGTTGTCTTTATGTGTAGAATCATGTGCATGTGATATGTTGGCTACTACATTTTCCTACAATATTGCAAAATTGTATTCTTCCAAATTTAATTTCATTCTTGTATGTCTTGAAGAAGGATTTTTTAATGAAAATAGGTATGAAAATTGTTGATGGTCGCTTTTAATTATAAAATGTATTCCATAAATGTATGAACATTAATATTTTATTGCAAAGTGTATTGCAGCTAATTTTTTTTTTTATCATTGATTTATTACTTTCTCCTTTTGTGAAGGATCTTGACGCAAATGAAATGAGTGATAATAAACCGTTGTTTTCCTGATTTAATGCTAATTATAAATATTTTTGTAAAGTCAGTATAGTGAAGGATTGATGCTTTTAATAGACAATTTTTTAATTTTTCAAATGATTTTTGAGCCTCCTTAGTAAATTTAAAACTAATTTTTTTCTTACATTGTTAAGTGATTTTGCTAGTTCTGCAAAATGTCGAATAAATTTCCGAGTAATTTATAAAGGCTTACGTGAGGATAGATTCCCTGATCAGTGCAGTTATGTGCCAAATACGTTACTTTTCCAAAAAATTGACACTTATCTGGATTTAATTTTAAATTATATCTTGTACATGTTGAAAATATCGATTCAAGATTATTTAGATTATGTTTTTCAAAACATCCCACTACTAATGCAGGTAAAACATTGTAATGACATCATTCTTGAGAATGAATTTGGTGAGACATTAAGACCAAATGGGGGTACGTTCCAACGGATCACTTAAAAGAATTTTGCCCTTCCTATAATATTCAATATATGTATCTTTCATACGTGGTAATGGAAATTTATCAACTATTATTTTTTTGTGGCCCCGGTAGCCGAGTGGTAAGGCACTCAGATGTAGAAATGTAAACAACCGGGGGAGCGTGGGTTCAAATCCCAAGGGTGCCGCATTAACTATACGTTGCCTTTACACCACAGCGGAACCAATATAGCTAAAAAAGAAATATCTAATATTAGTATAAAATTAATATAAAAATATTACCTTAATAACTCCAATATGAAATATTATAGGTTCAAAATAAAACAATACATAATATAACCTAATAATACTAATAATAATAACCCGATACTGAAATACAAACACCATATGTCACCTGTCACCAACACCTGACACCTGTCATCGTCTGACAATACTGACAATAAATAATCCATCTAATGCAACTAACACCTCTATGCGGCGGATACAGACAATAAAAACAGACGACGTCTCTCTACTAGACGATAGATGGCGCGCTTCACGCTACGGCAGGCTAATCACCTAGCCTAGTGAACAATAACGATTCACGAAATTGAAACAGAGCCTCGGATATCAGATGAAAACACGGTAACGACCTTTAGAACTAGAAAAACGACACGAATAGGAAACTGGAATGTAAGAACACTAAAAGAAGCGTCAAGACTAGCGCAAGTTGAGAAAGAAATGTCAGACTATGGGGTTGAAATTCTTGGAATAAGCGAGATGAGGTGGCCTGGCACTGGAGAAATGACAACTGCAAAAGGAAATGCTCTAATATACTGTGGAAATGAGAACAGCGAAGATGGAGTTGGGCTACTAATATCTAAACGCCTAAAGAGAAGCTTAATTAAGTGGCATGCAATCTCTGACAGAATAATAACTACGAGACTCTATTCACGCATCAGAAAAATCACTATCATCCAATGTTACGCACCCACGGAGATGACTAATGATGAAGCAAAGGAACTGTTCTACTCACAACTAACAACGGAGCTGAGCAACACACCCAAAACAGACATAGTCATTGTGATGGGCGATCTAAATGCGAAAGTAGGCTCAGACTGTGATGGAAAAACAGAAGTGATGGGTAGAAATGGTATGGGCACTAAGAACAACAATGGTGAACGGCTGATCGAGGTCTGTCAGGAACATGGCCTGATGATAGGTGGAACTTTGTTCCCACACAAAACAATACACAAATATACATGGACGTCACCGGATCAGCGAACCCGCAACCAGATAGACCACATATGCATTAGTCACAGATGGAGACGATCCCTGCTCGATGTAAGGACATGGAGGGGTGCAGATATACAATCGGACCACATGCTTCTCACGGCAGATATCCGCCTAAGACCTGCAACAATAAGAAACGAAAACCCACTAAGAAAAAAGAAGATCAACACGCACAAACTCAATAACGAAGATACAAAAAGGAAGATACAAAAAGGGAATTTGTATCGCAACTTGACAATAGGATTACAAATCAGACAAGTGTGAACGAGAATAGTCTTCAAAATATAATTAGAGAGGTGGGTGAAGAAGTCTTAGGCACATAACAAACACATAGAAAAGAATCGAACAGAGAAAACAACTAAGAGCAAAACTTCTGATGCAGCCACACGACACAGAACTAGCATCGCAATATAGAGAGAAGGCCAGAAAAGTAAAGAAATCAGCAAGAAAAGACAAGAGAAACTACTTCAACGGGCTGGCAAAAGAAGCGCAGAGAGCTGCAGCAAACAACAATATGCGCGCTCTATACAAGAACACACAGAAACTCTCAAACAAGTACAAGAAGCAAAATCAACCAGTCAAAGACAGGGAACGGCGGCCACTCACATTCACGCAAGAACAATTACAGAGATGGCAGTAATACTTCGGGGAGGTCAACAATGGCGACCAGCAGTATCAGCAAGAACAGCGTCCACAAGAAAGCAGTGACAACACCAACAGAATAAATCGGGGCCCGCCAAGCAAAAGAGAAATAATTGATGCTATCCAAAAGCTGAAAAATAACAAAGCAGAAGGTCTCCATGGAATACCAGCGGAACTCCTGAAAGCAGGCGCTAACACAATAGCCGACACTATGCTTCCAATCCTGAACACAATATGGAGCATAGAAAGTATACCTAGAGGCTGGAAAAATGGCATCATAATAAAGATACCAAAAAAGGGTGACCTGTTAGAATGTCAAAATTGGCGAGGTATCACAATACTAAACTCTGTTGTCAAAGTGCTAGCACTCATAATCTACACAAGATTAGAAAGTAAAATAGAAGCGGACCTCAGGGAAGAACAAGCGGGCTTCAGAAAGGGACGAAGCTGTATCAAGCAGACTAACACACTAAGGATAATAATAGAACAGTCAGTTGAGTGGAACTCACCGCTATACGTCGCCTTTGTTGACTTTGAAAGGGCCTTCGACACGATTGACCGAAAAGCATTGTGGCGCTCCCTGACAGCTAGGGGAATTCCTCAGAAAATAATAAACATAATCAGGGCACTATATGAAGAAGCGGAATTGGCAGTGCTTCATCATGGGCGCTTGAGCGACCCAATAGAGCTGCGAGCAGGAGTCAGGCAGGGATGTCCATTTTCTCCCCTCCTGTTCAATGTGGTGCTTGACGAAATAATGAAGAAAACAACAAACACTGCTAGAGGAATAAAATGGACCCTCTCAGATAGATTGGAGAGTCTGGAATATGCGGATGATATAGCTCTTCTCACACACACACACACCGACATGCAAGAAAAATTAAGGAGCCTGGAACAAAATGCCGCGGAAGTTGGTCTTCGTATAAATATAAACAAGACGAAATGCCTAAGAATTAATGCGAGAACAACAACACCTCTTCAGATAAATGAGAAAACCATAGAGGATGTCTCCGAGTTCTGCTACCTGGGTAGTATAGTTACTACAGATGGGGGTGCTGAAAGAGACATAGAGAACAGGCTTAAGCTTGCTAGAATGGCATTCGGAAGACTGTGGGCGGTTTGGAGGCAGCGTCACTTGGCAAGGGGCACCAAAATTAGAATCTTTGACGCGTGCGTAAAGTGGGTGCTCCTGTATGGCAGCGAAACATGGCTGATTAAGAAGAGCTATACAGATAAGGTGCAGACCTTCATAAATAGATGCCTACGAATAATATGCAGAATATTCTGGCCTAGAACAATTAGTAACAAGGATCTATGGGATTTAACGGGGCAGGAACCAGTTTACGACCAGATTAAGAGAAGGAAGTGGAGCTGGATAGGTCACACACTTCGAAGGCCAGTAAGTAACATCCCGCGAAGGGCCCTTGAATGGAATCCACAGGGTAAAAGGAAAGTAGGCAGACCAAAAGAAACTTGGCGCAGATCAGTGAACAAGGAGGTGGGGAGCACCCGAAAAACATGGCCCGAAATAAAAGAAATAGCACAAAATAGAGTCAGACGGCGAAGCTTTGTAGATGCCCTATGCTCCCAAAGGGAGTAGAAAAGGAAAAAAAAAAAAAAGTTATTTTTTATTAATTTTCCTATATTGTATAAATCTATACAAAGACTTTACTTCCTTAAATTTCCTTTCTTGGCTACTAAAATAAATGGACTATTAAAACTTGCTTTACTTAGTGCGATTAGTTTGTTTTTACCTATTTGTTTATTAATCTTTTCTTTTTGTGTTAAAAGTAATCTATAATTTTTTTATGTACACCGGATTATTATCAATTATTCTTAAGTTTTGCTTACAAAAGTTGTTCACAGTCATTTTGTCATTTTCCATTTGAAAAATATTCATTATATTTCACACATAATTGTTTTAACCTGTAATAGTAATTTTGCTCTGTATTTTTAGGAATTATACTTTCGATTTTTTTCGAACATTTCTGCTTAAATTAATTTTTTTGAGTCTTCATTTTTGGTAAAATGAGATGGTGGTTGAGCATTTAAAATTATGATTGATTTTATTGTTTTGGGTTCTAAATTAATATTCATTAGACGTACTATGGGATTTTTAGATTACACAATTGTACGAGGATTTTTAAGGAGTCTTTCCTAATACATATATCCTGAGCTGATATATCAGGTGTGTCTGGTACCACGTGAAATAAACATTTTAGTTTTGCTATTGTTAATATATTTTTGACAATAAAGTTCCTAGAGATTTAATTGTATCCTCTGTTATTCCTTTCATATTTATATTTTCTTCTTCATCTATTCTATGATGTTCATTTATTGCTGAGATTTTGATCAGTAAAATATCTGCTTGGATATCTACTAGTAAATTAATGTTACTTGTATCTAAATTTGGCGATATATGTATTTATATACTCAGAAAAATTAAGATCTAAGAAAAAAATATTTTTTATCAGTGTTTGAAATTTTTCGTTAAATGAGATCTCATTCATAGTTTTCTAAAACGTCTCATAAAGAGAAATACTTTATCGTAAAAATATGGATTTATATGATACAGCTTATTATAACGTAAGTAAGCGTATTTTGTCATATAGACTTCTTACACAAACAAAATATAAACGAAAAAAAAAAAGAAATAATCTGCGAAATTTTTGCAGCGATTTTTTTGTTTTCTTTACATGATCTTTTAAACTATTTTAAAGCGATAAAGCGTTTTCTCATTGGTATAAAAAAGAAGAAAATAAAAAGAGTTCTGTTTTGCAGCATCGTTTTAATTCGTTTATAAATTTCGCTGTAGAAGTTAAAATGTATAAGAAATATTTTTTAGTATTAAAAAGTATAAGTCAATTTCTCCTTTTTCGTTATTTGATCTAGTGAACGTAATTGAATATTGATATTTAAGCTGTAAGCTGTATTAAAAAACTAAGTTTTAAGCTGTATTAAAATTAATTAAATAATAAGTGTTGAATATGGCATCTTAGTAAATAGAACGTAGAACTTATGGATTTTATGTTTTGTTTTGTATTTTTTCTTTTTTTTAAATAAATATAGGAGTAAATATATGAGTACTCAAAAATATTTTATTTTTTGTAAGAAATAAAAAATTAAATGTATTTTTTGAAAATGTTTTTACTTTAAAAAAAAGAACAAGAAATAGGTAACAAAAAAATTTTTAAATACTAATTTTTAAAAAATTAAAATAAAAAAATTTATTTTGTTTCGTTTTTCATTTTTCTTTAGAAATTTTTTCCCTTTTTTTTATTTTATGTTATATTACATACTAATATTGAAGAAAACTTAAAATAAACATATTCCATCTGTTTTTGAAAAACTTAATTGAACTTATAATACTCCAAGCAAAAACTTGAAAACTGCAGGTCTAAATATTCTTATTTATTCATATTAACATGAATTTGTATA